AAAGATTTAAAACTTGCAATGGTTTTTCTTTTATTCTAAAAATTTTGGTGTAATGAACACCTGTAGATTTTTTTTTTCAAAATTAATATATATTAAATTTCCCTCATTTTTTAATAGTAAATTGATCGACAATTCTCTCATTTATTCGCAGATTGTCAATTAATTATCTTTATTATTAAAAAAATACAAAGAACAGCTAAGTTCATTTATTTTAATTTAATAAATAGATTATTGCATTGATCAAAGAATGTGCAAAATATACTGCTATCTCCAACCTAGCACCAAAAGTATATTTTATGGAAGTATATATATACATTTTATTTCTATTGCTAATGTCAAAATTTCATTTTAAATTTAACTATATATTATCTAATTAATAAATCATATAAATGTGTGTGATGATCTTTGAAATTCATATGACCATAAAATTTTTATTGCATTTTTGATTGGAAAAATTTTCTCAAAATTTGCCACTGTGGTGCAGAAAGTTGTGGGACTAAGTGACTTGCACTATGCAGTGAACCTTCCCTAAGTGCACCCTCCATATATGCACAGCCCATCTCATCCCCAAGCTTATAGAGAGCTTATAAAATCACCCTCCATAAATGCACGCTCACAAGAAATAGCCGAGGGGGGTGCACTTATAGATGGTTCACTGTAAATAAAAAAATTTTTTATGTGGGACAAAAAAGGGGATTTTTTGACAGGAAAATGGGGAGAAAAACAAAAATCAGCTGATTTCTCAAAACCCCCCTTTTCCCGAAGGTCCTTTTTGCTAGCATGAAACCCATATGTTTTCATTTCTATTGTAAGTTGATTATAATAATAATTTATTCATATATTTTAGATTTTTTAACTAATATTATTTTTAAACTATGTATAGAAGATAAATTGAAAATATATTTAATGGACAGATTTACAGAACTTTTTCAAAAATTTTCATTGATAAAAAAGATGGATTTGCCCATCAGAAGTTATAATATTCATTTAATGATTAAGGATTTTAGTAGTTTGTGTGAGGAATTGATGGTGATAAGGAACATTATTATTAGGAATTTGGATTTAATCAAACAAACTAATAGTATATTGAAAGAATGCTATTGTGAGATAGTAAATCTTGGACCTATCAATTACCCAGCTAATATTGACCAATTAGAACGAACTTACTACGGAAGTCATGTGATGCGCTAAATATATTATTGTAACGGCTACGC